GGTAGTTTAGTGAGGATATGGTGAGTTTAGTGAGGATATGGTGAGTTTATTGAGTATATGGTGAGTTTAGTGAGTATATGGTGAGTTTAGTGAGTTTAGTGAGGATATGGGGAGTTTAGTGAGTATATGGTGAGTTTAGTGAGGATATGGTGAGTTTAGTGAGGATATGGGGAGTTTAGTGAGTATATGGTGAGTTTAGTGTGTACCAGGTGAGTTTAGTGAGTATATGGTGAGTTTAGTGAGGATATGGGGAGTTTATTGTCTATATGGTGAGTTTATTGTCTATATGGTGAGTTTAGTGAGTATATGGTGAGTTTAGTGAGTATATGGTGAGTTTAGTGAGTATATGGTGAGTTTAGTGAGGATATGGTGAGTTTAGTGAGTATATGGGGAGTTTAGTGAGGATATGGTGAGTTTAGTGAGGATATGGGGAGTTTAGTGAGGATATGGTGAGTTTAGTGAGGATATGGTGAGTTTAGTGAGGATATGGTGAGTTTAGTGAGGATATGGTGAGTTTAGTGAGGATATGGTGAGTTTAGTGAGGATATGGGGAGTTTAGTGAGGATATGGTGAGTTTAGTGAGTATATGGTGAGTTTAGTGAGTATATGGTGAGTTTAGTGAGGATATGGTGAGTTTAGTGAGGATAGAGTGAATTTAGTGACGATATGGGGAGTTTATTGTGTATATGGTGAGTTTTCTGAGGATATGGTGAGTTTAGTGATGATATGGTGAGTTTAGTGATGATATGGTGAGTTTAGTCAGGATATGGGGAGTTTAGTGAGGATATGGGGAGTTTAGTGAGTACAAAAAAGCCTTCGTGTATATCAACTCTTTACATAAACTAGACAAATACATGAATGTGGATCTTGTTATCCTGTTATCATGTCTATGACAAGATATCTCCATAACATAATAATGATAACGAGAAAAAAACAATATCAGCAATGCGGGGATTCGAAGCCTCGACCCAAGGTAGCCGGTCTAGATTTGAGATACATGATGAGATAAAAACCTGAACTGTGGATTCAGTGGAATCCCAAGATATATATATAAACCACGTCGTGGTTCAGCGGTAAGGTGCGTGCGCGGCTTCTGAGTACCCATGCCGAAGGTTCGAATCCTCATCATTCACCCCGGTTGGTTTTCTCAGTGATATATATATATATATATATATATATATATATATATATATATATATATATATATAAATATATATATATATATATATCAAGTTAATGTGATATCCTTTGAATAATGGTAATAATGATAATAGTTTTGTCATTGAAATGTTGGTTATCATATATTTATAAGGTCATGTTAAGGTCAGTGGTTACTGAGGAGGTTATCTTGAGATCTTGAGATGACGGGATTATTTACACCTGCTGAGGAGAGGGGAATATTTACACCTGCTGAGCAGAGGGGAATATTTACACCCAGCTGAGGAGAGGGGAATATTTACACCTGCTGAGGAGAGGGGAATATTTACACCCAGCTGAGGAGAGGGGAATATTTACACCTGCTGAGGAGAGGGGAATATTTACACCCAGCTGAGGAGAGGGGAATATTTACACCCAGCTGAGGAGAGGGGAATATTTACACCTGCTGAGGAGAGGGGAATATTTACACCCAGCTGAGGAGAGGGGAATATTTACAACATGACAAGGGCGCAATTTACATGTAAATAGTGCGCCTCTCTTTCCTCTTGTCTGTCCCTTGGGGGTCCTCTTGTCTCGGTGAAAGGAAAAAATAACACAAGAGCACGCTGTGAAAGAACGCCATAGTAAGAACGCTGTAAAAGAACGCCATGGTAAGAACGCTGTGGTTCCTGAGCCTATTGGGCTCTATCATATCTACACTTGAAACTGTGTATGGAGTCAGCCTCCTCCACATCACTGCCTAATGCATTCCATCTGTTAACTACTCTGACACTGAAAAAGATCTTTCTAACGTCCCTGTGGCTCATGTGGGGGTACTCAGTATCCACCTGTGTCCCCTTGTTCGCGTCCCACCCGTGTTGAATAGTTTATCCTTAGCTATCCCCCCTGTCAATTCCCCTGAGAACTTTATAGGCGGTGATCATGTCTCCCCTAACTGCTATCTTCCAGTGTCGTGAGGTTTGGTTCACGTAATCTTGTCTCGTAGCTCATGCCTCTCAGCTCGGGGACTAACCTAGTGGCATACCTCTGCGTGTGTGTGTTATATACACTAATATAAATTACTGTTATCGTCCAATATAAAATAGATTGTTATCTTACGATAACAATCAGACTGTTGATGGTCGGATATCATCTCGTTTATATGGGTCATTAACACAATAACGAGCAATAGTTATCATTATAATAATAACGTTAATATTGACAATACAAAATTATTAATATTATTAATGATAATTGCTACGGTAATATTAATAGAATATTTGTGAAACATTAATAATAAGAATTATAATGATATCAATAACAAGACCGATATAATCCAGTGTCGTCATATAAATAAAAAAACCAGATAGAGAACGATAAACAAATTCCTTTCACACACTTTAAATATTAAAATTTCATCATAAACTCTTACCCTTTGGCACTTTTGACCTGAGAGTTGCCAAGCGCCACTATCTCGCTCTTTAATTAAAACTCTCAATAGGGAGTCTTCCGTTTCTCTCTTCTTCCTTGGAAGCTCTTCCTTGGAAGGTCTTCCTTGGAAGCTCTTCCTTGGAAGGTCTTCCTTGGAAGCTCTTCCTTGGAAGCAAAGGACTTCGTCTTGTCCTCTAATGTAAATCTCAGGAGGTGAAGCGCCACAGCTTCTGCAATTGAGGCAGTTAAGGGGTAAGGGGCTGTTATCACGTGGACGAACGGCCCGTAAGATCATTTACCGCGCCCGGGCACTGACAGGTCGACAGCTGACTACAGGACGCTCCTCCTCCTCTCCCGCAGGAACTACGGAAACAGTGCCAGGACTTCGCTACGGCCTTGCTCGACCACACTCGTTCCTCCTACGAGCTGGAGGTCCTCCTCAACCACGACCCGACGGGGCCTCCGCACGAACACGGGGAACGGATGCACCTCAACCGCCTCAAGCTGGCCATCAAGCTGAAACAGAAGAAGGTAAGATGGTCTCTTAGTCGTTCTCAGTGGTGGGGAAGAGAAGGGTGGAGGTGGTGGAGGGGAGGTCGTTCAAGATTAAAGTAGAAGGTGGAATATTCCTTGGGTCGTTTACATCTTCAAGGTGATGTAGAGTAAGGTATAAAGGGACTCTTTTACCGGCTGACAGCCGTGCCATCAGGCTGTACGCCACCACGACCAGTAGTCAATTATGCTATCCTGGCCCTGTGTGTCACCTCAGGTGTCTCACAGTGCCACTGCTCTCCACATATATCATCCAGGATACGTGCGTATCAGGCCCCCAGAGATCACACTCAGTGCCGGTTTAAAACAGGGTTCTACCCAACCACAAACCCCACCACCACACCACACACACACACACACACACGTATACTTTACATACTCATTCCTCTCTGGGGGGCACCTCGGCCCATATTTTGTGCGGCGCCACATTCACCACCAGTGTCACACATGCAGTATCCTGGCCGGACATTACCCGGCATGAATATTACGTCCATTTACCCCCATGATGCGGACGACCTCATAGAACCCCTCTCCTACCCTCCCACCTTTCCCCCTCACTCCCCTTCCTCACTCCGCTCCCTCACACTCCTCCCTCACACCCATCTCCCTGGGCTTGCCCAATATTCCCTCGATATTGGACGTTCAAACCACAACAGTGAGTAGGTTCACAGATGACAGGCCATGTGGGATTCAATTAGTTGTTGGTCGGGACCCGACAATTGGTGGCAAGTTGCTCTATTTTCTCCCTAAATGAATGTCATTAGTTGTCTCAATTTGCGTCTTCAATTATCATTTTGTTCCTAATTAAACCGAAATTGTACGTTTATTCTGTATATTTTTGTGCGTGGTAAGTTGGAGACATCGTAAGATGGACGTAGTTGGTGTTTGATGGGGGGAGACAAGTCGCAAGTAGGTGGGTTTTAATTAAATTGTGTGTGTGTGTGTGTGTGTGTGTGTGTGTGTGTGTGTGTGTGTGTGTGTGTGTGTGTGTGTGTGTGTGTGTGTGTGTGTGTATGTGTGTGTGTGGGTGTGTGTGTGTGTGTGTGTGTGTGTGTGTGTGTGTGTGTGTGTGTGTGTGTGTGTGTGTGTGTGTGTGTGTGTGTGTGTGTGTGTGTGTGTGTGTGTGTGTGTTTTCACCAAGATGTCCTTGCAAAGAAAAGATCATCTTGCTTCCTTTAATATCTTATCTTGAATCTGTTTTCGTTTCGTCGGGGGAGAGGAATTAAGGCTATTATCATATCTGCTTGAAAGTTTCCTAAGCCAACAACTTAGTTGTCTAATTCTCAAGTACCTGTTTACTGCTGAGGCGAACCTATGCATCAGATGTAAAAAAAAAAACTTGTCTTGGATTCTCGCCATATCCGGGAATCGAACCCGGGTACAATCGCTTGTGAGCCGACTACTCACTGCTCTTACAAGCAAGAGGACTTTCCTTACATCGCGGTGGCTCACTTGAGTTCCTTGTTCTGTTGTCACTCCTCTTCTCTCGACCATGCTCAATATTTCTTTGTATCTACTTTGGCAACTCCTTCTACGTATCTTGTATGTCCGGATCATGTCGCCCCCTTTCCGCCTTTGCTTTTTTTCACGTTCCCAGACTTAAATATCCCTAAATATCTTTCTTCTTTGTTTCTGTTTCATGTCGGAACTCCTCACCGGGGCTACATATTCTAGTACTGCCCTAACAGAGGTACTGTGCAACACAGAAAGAGAGACACAGAGAGAGAAATGCGCAAGAAGACAGACAAAGTCACAGAGAGAGAGAGAGAGAGACAGACAGACAGACAGACAGACAGACAGACAGACAGACAGACAGACAGACAGACAGACAGACAGACAGATACAGAGAGAGACACAAAGAGACGTGAGTAATTTGTTGACAGGTGCTCGAATGTCGTATGCGTTTCCATTTATTATCATTATCTTAGAAGTTGAAAAGTTAACTCTCCAAAGCTCATTATACAGTTCTATTGTGACCGAGGCTAAGACCTGCGTTTCGTTGATCTTGTCAACATCTTCAAAGGCACAGTATTAGAGAATACAATTTAGATAGAGAGGCCGAATATATATATAACCTAGAGTGAGGCGAAATAGGGCTTCAAATGATCCAGTAGGCCTACTTCAGCCTTCATACTTCCTGTTTTGTGTTATGGAGGCTGGGACAGTGTGCTGGATGTTCTGTCTGCGTCTTGAAGATGGTAGATTGTAATTGAGTTGTTTAGCTCCCCCCCTACAAGTACCACCTCTTCCCCCCTACACACGACCCCCTCTCTCCCTTCAATAATCACCCCTCCTCATACAACAACCATCCTTCGTCTCTACACTAGCCACTCCTCCCCTACAATACCCACCCCTCCCCTACAACACCCACCCCCTCCCCTACAACAGCTACCCTCTCCCCTACAACACCCACCCCCTCCCCCTACAACACCCACCCCCTCCCCTACAACCCCCACCCCCTCCCCTACAACAGCCACCCCCTCCCCTACAACAGCGTCCCTCTCCACTACAATAATCACCCTCTCTCCCACAGTTCGTGGCTCACCCCAACGTGCAACAGCTGCTGGCCTCCATCTGGTACGAAGGTTTGCCCGGGTTCCGCCGCAAAAACATGGCGCTGCAGGCGCTGCAGATCGTCAAGATCGGCATCCTGTTCCCCATCTTCTCCGTCGTGTACATCCTGGCGCCCCACACCACGCCCGGCCAGACCATGCGCAAGCCCTTCATCAAGTTCATCTGCCACTCAGCTTCCTACCTCACCTTCCTCTGTGAGTCTCTGGCGGGAGAAAGAGAAAGGGAAGGGGAGGGTGTTATCGTTCTCTATGAGTCTTTTTGGCGGGAGAAAGGATAGGGGTGACCATTCCCATCTGTGATTCTGTCTCCCGGCCTAACAGCCGCCCGTCCTACCACCTACACGTCCTCCATTAACTGTCAACTGTACCTTCCACTTAACAGTCACCTCTCCCCCCTCCGACAGGCTTGCTGATCCTGGCGTCGCAGAGGATAGAGACTGTCATCGTGGACTGGTTCGGGGCGACGCCCACTCTCAAGAAGTGGGTGGCCACTGATGTCACCACCCGCCGGGGAGCCCCGCCCAGTCTGGTGGAGTGGCTCATACTGGCGTGGGTGTTTGGTGAGTGGGGCAGAGGGTGTGAGGAGAGAGAGTGAGAGAGAGAGAGAGAGAGAGAGAGAGAGAGAGAGAGAGAGAGAGAAAGAGAGAGAGAGAGAGAGAGAGAGAGAGAGAGAGAGAGGGAAGAAAAGAGGAAGTGAATGAGAGTAGCAAAGAGACAATGAGTTCAGGTAAAGATAGAAGAGAGGAGAGTGATTGGAGGATAAAGCGAGGAGATTGTGAGGGAGAGAAGGTGGGAAGAGAGAAAGAGAGAGAATGCTGGAAGGAGAGAGGTAGACAGGTGAGAGTAAGTGAGGGGTAAAAGACAGAGAAGGAGAGGGAGGCTGGAACACAGTACCAGAGATAAGCAACATTTCTGTTGCTGATAAAATCTCTGATCCTAAAACTTTTGTTTTCAAGCAAATTTGCATCGAATCAAATCAAATAAATAATGAAAATTTTTATAAGAATTTTAGCCCAAAGATATACAAAGAGTCATATATGACAGATGGTCGTATATGGTTCTCGATAAAGCATCCACTCTCTATTACCTTGACCAATCCCCATCCCCCCTGACCACAACCCATCCCCCCTGACCACAACCCATCCCCCCCTGACCACAACCCATCCCCCCTGACCACAACCCATCCCCCCTGACCTCATCCCATCCCCCCTGACCACAACCCATCCCCCCTGACCACAACCCATCCTTCCCCTGACAACAACCCATCCCTCCTGACCACAACCCATCCCCTCCTGACCACAACCCATCCCCCCCCTGACCACAACACATCCCTCCTGACCACAACCCATCCCCCCTGACCACAACCCATCCCCCCCTGACCACAACCCATCCCCTACAGGACTGATCTGGTCGGAGATCAAGCAGCTGTGGGACGTGGGTCTGAGGGAGTATGTGGGGGACATGTGGAATGTCATCGACTTCATAACCAACGCGCTCTATGTGGCCACCATCGCTCTCCGCATCGTGGCTTATTACCAGGTGGGTGGCACTGTGTCTGCAGGCAGGTGGGTGGCACTGTGTCTGCTGGCAGGTGGGTGGCACTGTCTGCTGGCAGGTGGGTGGCACTGTGTCTGCTGGCAGGTGGGTGGCACTGTGCCTGCTGACAGAAGGGTGGCACTGTGCCTGCTGACAGGTGGGTGGCACTGTGTCTGCTGGCAGGTGGGTGGCACTGTGCCTGCTGACAGGTGGGTGGCACTGTGTCTGCTGGCAGGTGGGTTGCACTGTGCCTGCTGACAGGTGGGTGGCACTGTGTCTGCTGGCAGGTGGGTGGCACTGTGCCTGCTGGCAGGTGGGTGGCACTGTGTCTGCTGGCAGGTGGGTGGCACTGTGTCTGCTGGCAGGTGGGTGGCACTGTGTCTGCTGGCAGGTGGGTGGCACTGTGTCTGCTGGCAGGTGGGTGGCACTGTGCCTGCTGACAGGTGGGTGGCACTGTGTCTGCTGGCAGGTGGGTGGCACTGTGCCTGCTGACAGGTGGGTGGCACTGTGTCTGCTGGCAGGTGGGTGGCACTGTGCCTGCTGGCAGGTGGGTGGCACTGTGCCTGCTGGCAGGTGGGTGGCACTGTGTCTGCTGGCAGGTGGGTGGCACTGTGCCTGCTGACAGGTGGGTGGCACTGTGTCTGCTGGCAGGTGGGTGGCACTGTGCCTGCTGACAGGTGGGTGGCACTGTGCCTGCTGGCAGGTGGGTGGCACTGTGTCTGCTGGCAGGTGGGTGGCACTGTGCCTGCTGACAGGTGGGTGGCACTGTGCCTGCTGGCAGGTGGGTGGCACTGTGTCTGCTGGCAGGTGGGTGGCACTGTGTCTGCTGGCAGGTGGGTGGCACTGTGCCTGCTGACAGGTGGGTGGCACTGTGTCTGCTGGCAGGTGGGTGGCACTGTGCCTGCTGACAGGTGGGTGGCACTGTGACTGCTGGCAGGTGGGTGGCACTGTGCCTGCTGACAGGTGGGTGGCACTGTGTCTGCTGGCAGGTGGGTGGCACTGTGCCTGCTGGCAGGTGGGTGGCACTGTGCCTGCTGACAGGTGGGTGGCACTGTGCCTGCTGACAGGTGGGTGGCACTGTTCCTGCTGGCAGGTGGGTGGCACTGTTCCTGCTGACAGGTGGGTGGCACTGTTCCTGCTGGCAGGTGGGTGGCACTGTGCCTGCTGACAGGTGGGTGGCACTGTGCCTGCTGGCAGGTGGGTGGCACTGTGCCTGCTGGCAGGTGGGTAGCACTGTGTCTGCTGGCAGGTGGGTGGCACTGTGCCTGCTGGCAGGTGGGTGGCACTGTGTCTGCTGACAAGTGGGTGGCACTGTGTCTGCTGGCAGGTGGGTGGCACTGTGCCTGCTGGCAGGTGGGTGGCACTGTGTCTGCTGGCAGGTGGGTGGCACTGTGCCTGCTGGCAGGTGGGTGGCACTGTGTCTGCTGGCAGGTGGGTGGCACTGTGCCTGCTGGCAGGTGGGTGGCACTGTGCCTGCTGGCAGGTGGGTGGCACTGTGTCTGCTGGCAGGTGGGTGGCACTGTGTCTGCTGGCAGGTGGGTGGCACTGTGTCTGCTGGCAGGTGGGTGGCACTGTGTCTGCTGGCAGGTGGGTGGCACTGTGCCTGTTGGCAGGTGGGTGGCACTGTGCCTGCTGGCAGGTGGGTGGCACTGTGTCTGCTGGCAGGTGGGTGGCACTGTGCCTGCTGGCAGGTGGGTGGCACTGTGTCTGCTGGCAGGTGGGTGGCACTGTGTCTGCTGGCAGGTGGGTGGCACTGTGCCTGCTGGCAGGTGGGTGGCACTGTGCCTGCTGGCAGGTGAATGGCACAACTCCTATAACATGATCATCACAGGATTCAGGTTAAAGCATGGACAAAATATTTCTCACATTTACATACGAAAAGGAAGTACAATCGATTTACAGTTCTTCTTCTGAATCATTGGAGCAGGACAACGGGATCGACCCTGCGTCTCGGGTCGCCCCAGACACGCTTCTTAACCCAAGGACCACAATATACTAAAATTCACACAATCTGAAGTAAGTCGATCCTTTCCCCCCTTGGACCCACTAGGTGTCTTAAGACGCCCCGAAGCTGGTGCCCACCCAAGTCTTTACACCCAACACTCTTAACTCTGGTGTAGGTTAGAAACCAAAAAAAGAATATTTTCTTCAGAATTCATCTGCAATTTTTTTTTGACCCGAGCATCTTTTTTTCACCCTGTGGGAAGGCCGAGGTGGAGGTCGCAAATCTTATTTCTCCCACCGGTCTCTTGCTTGAAAAAAACATTCTTGAAGCAACATTAAGGAGACAACACACTTCCTGTCTCCTCTCGTCTCCCCCTCCCCCTTCACCATTTTTTTTAATTAAACGCGGCGGAAAATTGAGTTAGTGACTCGACTCATGCAGAATAACAATTTTAGACATTGAGTACGATGCCTACTCTCAGAGGGAAGAGATGTTGGTTTATATATGTACTTATATAGAAGTATATATAACATAATATATATATATATATATATATATATATATATATATATATATATATATATATATCTATATATATATATATATATATAATATATATATATATATATATATATATATATATATATATATATATATATATATATATATATATATTAGTATATTTTGGTAGCAGTCTTTCCTGTAGACATATATTATTAAATATGACCGAAAAAGTAAGATTAATAATTCTAACTCGAATTTTCTCAATCTTTCGTACATTACGCTTCACTGTTGGAGGTAAATCAAAAATCAATTCTCCAAAATTCATTTTTATTTCTAGTCTGACGCGACACGGGCGCGTTTCGTAAAACTTATTACATTTTCAAAGACTTTAGTTCACAAATACACAACTGATTAGAACTTACGTATCTCCGATTTTATATCTACATTTGAGTGAGGTGGGAGGGGTGATGTGGCATTAACACAAGACAGAACAAGAGGGGATATTAATAGGGTATTAAAAGTATCAACACAAGACAGAACACAAACAATGGGTATTGAATAGAAGTGTTTGTAGAAAGCCTATTGGTCCATATTTCTTGATGCTTCTATATTGGAGCGGAGTCTTGAGGTGGGTAGAATATAGTTGTGCAATAATTGGCTGTTGATTGCTGGTGTTGACTTCTTGATGTGTAGTGCCTCGCAAACGTCAAGCCGCCTGCTATCGCTGTATCTATCGATGATTTCTGTGTTGTTTACTAGGATTTCTCTGGCGATGGTTTGGTTGTGGGAAGAGATTATATGTTCCTTAATGGAGCCCTGTTGCTTATGCATCGTTAAACGCCTAGAAAGAGATGTTGTTGTCTTGCCTATATACTGGGTTTTTTGGAGCTTACAGTCCCCAAGTGGGCATTTGAAGGCATAGACGACGTTAGTCTCTTTTAAAGCGTTCTGTTTTGTGTCTGGAGAGTTTCTCATGAGTAGGCTGGCCGTTTTTCTGGTTTTATAGTAAATCGTCAGTTGTATCCTCTGATTTTTGTCTGTAGGGATAACGTTTCTATTAACAATATCTTTCAGGACCCTTTCCTCTGTTTTATGAGCTGTGGAAAAGAAGTTCCTGTAAAATAGTCTAATAGGGGGTATAGGTGTTGTGTTAGTTGTCTCTTCAGAGGTTGCATGGCTTTTCACTTTCCTTCTTATGATGTCTTCGATGAAACCATTGGAGAAGCCGTTATTGAAGAACTCTGTAGGGTAAGGCAGGTCCTAGTGTGTGTGTGTGTGTGTGTGTGTGTGTGTGTGTGTGTGTGTATATCACGAAAATAAACACGTGATTAAGAATGTGACAATGTCAGACCACGAAGGAAAAATGAAACAGGAAATTTCCTTAAGTACTTTCGTATATTAAATACATCTTCAGAAGGTCACCTTCTGAAGATGTATTTAATATACGAAAGTACTTAAGGAAATTTCCTGTTTCATTTTTCCTTCGTGGTCTGACATTGTCATATATATATATATATATATATATATATATATATATATATATATATATATATATATATATATATATATATATATATATATATATATATATATATACTGTATACCTTTCAGTCATTGTAAAGGAGTATTTTATAAAGCAAATAACAAAAATTGGGCATCAAATAATTACAGATTAAGCCGTCAAAAGAATAATAAAGCAATAGGTGTTCTCAAGGGCCTGTCGTGAGAATAACTATCCCAGGGACTATCCCAGGGACCATCCCAGGGACCATCCTAGGGACCATCCCAGGGACCATCCCAGGGACCATCCCAGGGACCATCCTAGGGACCATCCCAGGGACCATCCCAGGGACCATCCCAGGGACCATCCTAGGGACCATCCCAGGGACCATCCCAGGGACCATCCCAGGGACCATCCCAGGGACCATCCCAGGGACTACAGGATCACTGAGGCCAGACAAGACGACTCTACCTCTCTCCAAGCACCGGAAAAACCAACAAAGTCATCGAGAGGTTTGCATGCCCAAACTCTGCCTCGATCAAAATACTTGATTAACCGAAGCTTGGAAGGAGACAGAGGAGGAGGAGACGGAGAAGGAGGAGACGGAGGAGGGGAAGACGGAGGAGGAGGAGGAGACGGAGGAGGGGAAGACAGAGGAGAGGGAGACGCAAGAGGAGAAGACGTTCCTCGTCACCTCACATTAGCGGAAGCGACTGCTACAAGTCGTTGGCCTGGCTTCTCCAACGGTCTCCATTGCAGTGTCCATGGCACCGTCATTAACCACACTACAGGAGTGATTCATTGCATTATTTAACTATATATACAACAACGATCACAAAAACATTAATCCAAATATTCGGCAAAAAACACATTTGAAAAAATTTCGAGAATGCTGGAAGCGTTTTCGGCTCAATTCGCCTTCATCAGAGCAAGATAGCGAGTGCTATCATAGTAATAAACATTCAGTTCTTATAAGCTGCTTCTGAACTCGTGCCGTGCTTGCCTGCCTTCCGTCGCGGAGCAAGAAGCACTCTTGTGCCTTGAGACAGTGTC